GTACGTAGCACACAGCTGGGGAGGGGCCTGTACGTAGCACACAGCTGTGGAGGGGCCTGTACCTACCACACAGTTGGAGAATCTTGTGGTCGAGCTCGTTGAATGCCCCAGGTAGCTCTGCTGCTGCTGTGTAGCTCTGATGTAAACCGATGTGGCTCCAGCTCAGCGGGTTCAGGAGTGCATGCACCCGTTTGCAAGTCGCACAAATCTGTGACGGAAATGGGACAAAACAGGGTCATAGCAGGGTGGAGGTTGGTGTATAACTTGGGGAGGATTCAACCTGCTTTGGGAAGTACTGCTCCATTTGTCACTGAGTTACCATTATGTGAAACCCTTGATAGCAGGGTGGGGGGGGTGGTTCGATGATTATTTGGATAGAAATGGTGTGCAGGCATTTGTGGAGAATGCAGGAGATTGGCGCTGGGTAATGATGCTCATTTGAAGGGCCAGTGCAGGCCCGATGGGCCGAGTGGCCCCATTTTGCACCCAAACAGTCCCATGATTCTATAATGCTGTGAGTTGGAATGTTGTGAATTCAGACTCCAATAACTGAGGCTAGCAGACACCGTGCCATACTTGCAGAATGCCGCACTGTTGGACAGGACATCTTCCCGCTGAATGGAAACCCAAGTCTGCCCTTTCACATATGGTCAAGAGGTCAAGCTCGTTGGAAGCTGAACAGGGAAGACACCTTCCAGAAAGCTGGGCTAGTCTCTGTCACTCTGCACAGATTACTGACACTTTTACAGGGAAAATGGACAAGTTTTTCTTTTGTGTATTCAATCATGGGAGGTGGGCGTCGCTGGCTGGCCCAGTATTTATCACCCATCCTTTCAGAAGGTGGTGGTGGGCTGCCTTATCAAACCAAGTGGTCGTCTTCAACGGGGAAAGCTGGGAGAAGACGCAATAAATGCCAATAGGGACTCAACGCCCAGCCCTCATTTCACTCGATGTCATAAAACACTCTGAAGGCAATTGAGAACTTTGAACTCGTCACTGTTGGAACATCGGAAACCAGAAGCCAATTTACACACAGCAAGCTCCCCCACCCAGTAATGTGAGAATAATCTGAACACCTGCCTTTGGGAGATAGTGGGAACTGCAGATGCTGGAGAATCTGAGATAACAAGGTGCAGAGCTGGATGAACACAGCAGGCCAAGCAGCACCAGAGGAGCAGGAAAGCTGACGTTTCGGGTCTGGACCCTTCTTCAGAATAATTCTTCATTTTCTGAAGAAGGGTCCAGATGCAAAACGTCAGCTTTCCTGCTCCTCTGATGCTGCTTGGCCTGCTGTGTTCATCCAGCTCTACACCTTGTTACTTGTCTTTGGGATACTGCTTTAGGGATAAATATTGACGGTTTCTATGCTCTCCGTATAATCATTTACATCTGACTGTGAGGAGAGGACAAGCCTTGATTTAAAGATATATCCAAAAACTAGTGCCTCCCTCAGTCCTCGTACATAGGAAGCTTATTGGAGGTCAGTCATCTCAGCTCCAGGACATCCCTTCAGGAGCTCCTCAGGTTACTCTCAATTATTACACCAAAGTCACCCCGACTATGCCATAATCACCTCTCTCATTATTTTAGCCAACCTGTTTAGGTGTTTCGACACACGGCTGGATGGAACCTGGCTTTTGTAGCCCAGAGGTGGGAACACTACCGCTACGCCACAAGACCCTAGTTCCTCAGGGCAGATATTTTTCGAAACAACCTGTTCAGAAATGTTTTTGCACACTTCTGGAGCAGGTAAGACCTGACTGGCTCAGAGGTAGGGACACTAGCACTGCACCAGAACACTACTTTCTCAGGGTAGTGTCCCAGACCCAATAATCTACAGCTGCTTCATCAATGACCTTCCCTCCATCATAAGGTCAGAAGTGGGGATGTTCGCCGATGATTGTACAATGTTCAGCACCATTCGTGACTCCTCAGATACTGAAACAGTCCGTGTTCAAATGCAACAAGGTCGGGACAATATCCAGGCTTGGGCTGACAAGTGGCAAGTCACATTCACGTCACGCAAATGCCAGGCTATGACCATCACCAATAAGAGACAATCTAACCACCGCCCCTTGACATTCAATGGCGTTACCATCACTGAATCCCCCACTACCAACATGCTAGGGTTATCATTGACCAGAAGCTCAATTGGGCTCTCCACATAAACACAGTGGCTACAAGAGCAGGCCAGAAGTTAGGAATACTGCAACAAGTAATTCACCTCCTGACTCCCCAAATTCTGTCCCACCATCTACAAGGCACAAGTCAGGAGTGTGATGGAATACTCCCCACTTGCCTGGATGAGTGCAGCTCCAACAACACTCAAGAAGCTCAACACCATCCAGGACAAAGCAGCCCACTTGATCAGCACTACATCCATAAGCATCTACTCCCTCCACCACTGATGCTGAGTAGCAGCAGTGTGTACTATCTACAAGATTCACTGCAGAAACTCACCAAGGCTTCTGAGACAGCTCCTTCCAAACCTGTGACTACTACAAGTTAGATGGACAAGGGCAGCAGATACATGAACAAAGCTCCACCTCCCAAACTTGGAAATATCTTGTTGTCCCTTCAGTGGGTTAAAATCCTAGAAATCTCCCCTGAATACCATTGTGGGTCTACCTATAGCACATGGACTGTAGCAGTTCAAGAAGGTAGCTCACCACCACCTTCTCACATCCCAGGAACAGATAAGAAAATACTACACTTGGAAGGTCAACAAGTCAACTGTGGGATCCAGTGTCTTTAAGGCAGAGATAGATAGATTCCTGATGGTCAAGGAGATGAAAAGATTATCATGGGATATGCAGGAATGTAGAGTTGAGGTTAAAATCAGATCAGCCACGATCTGATTGAATGGTGGCACAGACTCAAATAGCTGAGTGGCCTCCTTTTGTTCTTTGTTGTTATGTTCATAGGTTTGTATGTACCCCAAAACTTTCTGACTAAGATCCTCTTCGAGCTAAGATGGTATTTTATTGGGGCGGATGAGTGCCAGGTACTGGCCAGAGCGTTTAACAGACTGAAGTCAATTTTAGGATGTATCAACAAATCCATACTCACGTGTTTTTCTAGAAGGTTCAGTGACAGTTCATCAACGTTCTCCAGGACACCACAATAAATCTAGAAGAGGATAAATATTGTGGCAAAGGTCAAAACAAAACGATAGCTTGGGTGACCACAAGCATCTTCAAAGATAGTGTTAAGGAGTGTCTCAAGTTAGGAGATAAAATTGCGAGGTTTCGGGTTGAAATTGCAGAGACAAGCCCAAGGCAGCTGAACGCAGAGCTGTTAATGGTGGAGAGATTAAAATGGCAGTGACTGAGAGTAACAAGAAAAACAATGGATTTCAAGAGAATGACAAGAAATTAGAATTGGAAAGGCTGGCAGACTGGAAACAATGTAAAAGGTAAAGATAACACAGTGTGGAGCTGGAGGACCACAGCAGGCCAGGCAGCAGGTAAAAGGTATAAAGTTGCCTTACCTTACCAGACTTATGGGGAGGCGAAAGCCTGGTGCTATTATCGCTGGATTGTTAATCCAGAGACTAAGAAATAGAACATAGAACAGTACAGCACAGTACAGGCCCTTCAGCCCACGATGTTGTGCTGAACTTTTACCCTAATGAATGTTCTGGGGACCCGGGTTCTAATCCCTTCACGGCAGATGGTGAAGTTTGAATTCAATAAAAGAAAATCTGGAATGAGGAGTCTAATGATGGCCATGAATCCATTGTTGGAAAAACCCATCTGGTTCACTGATGAAGGAAAACTGCCATCCTTACCTAGTCTGGCCTATGTGTGACTCCAGACCCAGAGCAATGTGGTTGACTCTCAACTGCCCTCTGGACAATTAGGGCTGGGTGATACATGGTGACCCAGCCAGCAATGCCTTCATCCATCAATGAATGAGAAGAAGTCTACAGAGCTGCTCCATCATTAGAGACAACTGGTGGTGGTTTAATCTGAGGGGCACCACACCTCAGGCGAGGGGAGATGTTGAGAAGGAGAGTCTTTCATGGTAACCTCAGCTCGTGCAGGAATTGAACCCTCACTATTGCCATCACTCTGCATCACAAACCAGCCATCCAGCCAACTGAGCTAACCAGCGTTTTGAAGCAACTTTCTTAGAAATGACCCACTTTGGAGTATACAACTCTCACACCCTTGCCTGAAGACATATCCACTTAATAGGTGAAACTTTCCACATTACACACATATATTGAGCCTAGATTTATATTTTTGTTGTTTTATGGATTGTAGACATAGCTGGTAAGGCCAGCATGTGCTGCTCATCCTTAATTGCCCCTTGAACTTAAATGTCATGCTTGGCCATTTCAGAGGGATGTTAAGAGTGGAGTCAACCACATTGCTGTGGGTCTGGAGTCACATGTAGGCCTCACCAGATAAGGATGGCAGTTTCCTTCCCTGAAGGACATGAGTGAATCAGTGAACAATCAAAATGATAGTTTCATGGTCACTATCTCTGAGACATGCTTCAGGTTCCAGGTTTTATGAAATCATTTGAAATTCCACCAGCTGCCACAGGGATATGTGAGCCCATTGGAGACACATTGACAGCATTAGCCTGGGATTACCCACCCAGTGAAATTACCAAGACACCATCATCGTTGCAGCAGAGGAGACTGAGAGCGGGGACAACTGACATGTATAAAAATTATCTGGGGTAACGACAGGGCAAACAGGAAGAAACTTCTCCCGTTGATGGAGGGTTCAATGACAAGGGGCATAGATTGAAGATAAGGGGCAGGAGTTTAGGGGGTGTGTGCGGAATAACTTTACACCCAGAGGGTGGTGAGAATCTGGAACTCACTGCCTGTAATGGTGCAATCACATTGAAGAAGGCACTTGGTGGTGTTGATGGTAGCCATGAGTGCTGGTGTTAGACTGAGAGGGACAAGGTCAGAAATCACACAACACCAGGTTACAGTCCAATAGGTTTATGTGAAATCATAGGTTTCACCTGACGAAGGGGCAAGCTTGTGTTTTCAAATAAACCAGCTGGACTATAACCTGGTGTCGTGCAACTTCTCACATTGGAGAAGTGTTTAGATGTATACTTGTGATGCCAAGGCAACGGGCCACGTGCATGGAACCAGAATTAAAATAGTGAAGTGGTTGTTTTTGACCAGCATGGATGTGATGGGCCTAAGAAATGTCCTCTGTGCTGTAGATCTCTGCTCATGATGACCCCATTGCGTGCTTGAAGTATGCAGGAGTGTCTGAGTGTGAACTGGGTGTTCACATTCTGTCTGTCTCTCTCTCTCTCTCACACACACACACACACACACACACAAGGTGGAGAAAGATACAGTGTCCTTACCACAATCACAGAGATCACTCTCTCCACATCCTCATCCATCACAGGGATAATGATCACTGTATGAAGGAAGACAAAAAGTCAAAGGAGATTTAAATCTTTGACTGAGTGAGTAACAAGCCCAATCAAATGGCAATGGAAGGAGGAAGATTAGGAGACAGTGCAAGAGAGAGGGATGGGATGAAGGTAGAGGGCAGGGATGGTGAGCAGAAGGCGTGTGGTAATGTTGGGGCATGAAGAAATGGAAGGGTCTCATGAGGGGATTGGGGACAAGGGGCAGGGGAGGAGGAGGAAGATGTGGAGGGGAGATGGTGAAAGGAGGCGAGAAAGTCAGAGGAGGGTGGGTTGGGGGCGTGCTATAGTGCAGGTTTGGGCCAGGGTAAAGGAATGGCGGAGGAGTGAACGGAGAATGGGAGGGGCTATGTGGAGGTTGGGAGTGAGAGGATGATGAGACGGGGGGGGTGATGAGGAAGGCGAGGGTGGGAGTGGGAAGGGGAGAACATTGGGACCGGAGTTGGGATCAGAGGGTTTGGGGGGCAAGGAGAGTGCTGGGAGGGGTTGGGCAGTGGGGTAGGGATTAGAGAGGAGAGAGAAGGGTGCAATTGGAAAATGGGACAGGCTTGGATAAGGGCTAGGAGAGGGCGATGGTAGAGAAGAGGGGGAAACGGGAACGGGAAGAAAGAGGGATGTTGGGGGAGGAATGAGGGTTCTGGAAAGAGGAGATTGGGACAGGGTGTGAGGGAGGAGAGGTGGAGGTGATGGATTTGGATGAAGTAGCTCCACCCACCTTGTTTGTCGCTTGGCAGTGGAGCCACCATGTGGCTCATCTTGGTGACCTGGATGTCGGTCTTGTGTAGCCCATTACATTCGATTCTCGACTTTGTGATCACTGCTTCTCTGCGAGAGGGAGAGAGAGAGAAAGCACATCCAGTCAAGACCACTGACCAATCAGACCCAGCCTCCTTCCCTGTGCTGCACTGCCTGAGTAGCCATCGATCCCAGGCGATAGCAAATCCGTGCCCTTCCTCCTGCCCCACGTGGAATCATCTCAGGAACTGAATTTTAAGGAAAAGTGTGAGTGTTTATCCCCACCTCCTGCCCCGGATCATTGTGGAAACAACCCTCTGTCTGATGCAGCATCAGATGATGTGCTGGGCTTAAATCAAAATCTCACAATAAAATTTTCTCTGGGAACTTGCAACCATCATACTTTCCCTCCAAGCCACTCTCCATTCTGACTTGGAAATATATTACCGTTCCTTCACTGTCACTGGGTCAAAATCTTGGAATTCCCTCCCTAAGGACCTTGTGGGTCAACCTACAGCACATGGACTGCAACGGTTCAAGAAGGCAGCTCACCATCACCTTCTCAAGGGGCAACTAGGGACAGGTAAAGTTACACCTCACTGGGGTAGTGCACTGGAAGTCAAGCTCAGGCAATCCTGGAATCAAGAGTCATAGAGATGATTACCAGACTGATTCCTGGGATGGCAGGACAGACGCATGAAGAGGGACTGGATCACTGTATTCACTGGAGTTGAGAAGAATGATGAAGAATCTCACAGAAACCTATAACATTCTAACAGGGTAAATGCAGGAAGGATGTTCTCAATGACTAGGGAGTGCAGAACCAGGGGTCACAGTTTAAGGAACAGGACAGATATTTAGGACTGAGATGAGGAGAAATTTCTTCACCCAGACAGCATCGGGTCTGTGGAATTCTCTGCCTCAGAAAACGGGTAGAGAGTCATAGAGTCATACAGCACAGAAACAGGCCTTTCGGTCCAATTCATGTGTTCTGACCAGACATCCCAATATGGCCTAGTGCCATTTGACAGCATTTAACCCATATCCCTCTAAACCCTTCCTACTCACATACCCATCCAGATGCACTTTAAATGCTGTAATTGTACCAGACTCCACCACTTCCTCTGGCAGCTGGTTCCATACACACAACACCCTCTGCGTGAAAAAGTTACTCATCAGGTCCTTTCTAAATTCTACCCCCACCCCCCCAACTCACCTTAAACCTATGCTTTCTAGTTTTGGACTCTCCCACCCTAGGAAAAAGACCTTGGCTATTCACCCTATCCATACTCATGAAAAGGTTATAAGCCTCTATTAGGTCACTGACAATCCAGGGAAAAAAGTGCCCCAGCCTATTCAGCCTCTCCCTATAACTCAACCCCTCCAACCCTGGCAACATCCTTGTAAATCTTTTCTGCACTCTCTCAAGTTTAACAACATCCGTCCTACAGAAGGGTGACCAGAATTGTGCACAGTATTCTAAAAGTGGCCTCGTCAATGTCCAATGCTCCTCAAGGGGTTCACTCGATCCCAACTGTCTCTACCTGATATATGCTTCCTTCTTATTCTTAACCAGAGCCTCAATTTCTCTCTTCATCCAGAATTCCCCACACCTACCAGCCTTGCCCTTCACTTTAACAGGAACATACTGTTGCTAAACTCTCGTTATCTCATTCTTAAAGGCCTCCCATTTCCCAACTGCCCCTTTACCAGTTGATGCCAAGACATTGGATGTTTTCAAGAAGGAGTTAGATAGTTTTTTATTATTATTAATTCACTGGGTAAGGGCATTGCTAGCTAGTTGAGCAGTTATTGCCCATCCCTAATTGTTCAGAGTCAACCACATTGCTGTGGGTCTAGAGTCACATGTAGGTCAGACCAGGGAAGGATGGCCGATTCCTTCCCTAAAGGACATTAGTGAACCAGATGGGTTTTCCTGACAATCAACAATGGGTTCATGGTTATCATTAGATTCTTAATTCCAGATATTTATTGAATTTAAATTCCACCATCTGCCATGGCGGGATTTGAACCTGGGTCTCCAAAACGTTATCTGAGTCTTTGGATTAACAGTCCAGTGATAATACCACTAGGCCATTGCCTCCCCAGGTCTTGAGGGTAAAGGGATCAACGGGTATGGGGAAGTAAGTGGGAACAGGGTAATGAGTTGGATGATCAGCATAATCACATTGATTGGTGGAACAGGCTTGAAGGGCTGAAAGGCCTACTTCTGTTCTTAGTTTCTGTGTTTCTATTTGTCACATATTCTCTCTACAAATGAACTGTTGACTATCACTCTATGAGTTTGAACTCCAACTCCCTTATGAACTCCCCTATGGCACACACGCATATAATCAGGCGCAGACAAGGAGAAAAATGGGTGTTATGGATGGAGAGAAAGACAGGGAAGGCCATTCAGTGGTCCCTGTTGACAGGGTTTGCTGTGATGAGTTTTCCGCTGATCAGAATGCTGCCCCCCAATCCTTTTTTTAATAGACATTTTCAGTTGTTTGTAGGATGCGCAGGGTGAGTCATTCCCATTTATAAAGGGTCAATTAACAGTCAAAACTTACAGCAACTAGAAAGATGGAATCAACTGGCTGTCTTCAGATATATTTTACTGCAGAGCAAAAGAACTCCTGCTCCACAGGCATGGTGGTTTCTGTCAAAACATTCCCACCCTCGAGCTATTTAATGGTTTGGGAGCCAATCACATAGCTATTGTCAGGCAGAAGACCTTTGCCATTGACAATTAGCCACTCATCCACAGACCAATCAGCTACTTGTAAACAGCCAAAGCTTCATCCATACACATCCCTTGGCTCCAGTTCGTCTGCAAAATCAGCTTCCACTACTGCTTGAACAAGCAGCTGTGTAAACAGTACTTACAATGAGGGCCAGTTTACTTGATTTCAAAACCTTCAGCAGTTCTTCAACAATCGTCGGCTTTTAAAGCCATTCCTTTCCCATATCAATCCACAATCAAAAATGTAGAAAAATAAAAATTCACTATCGCTACAGTAATAAGTGCTCATCGACAGCCAGTGACATTCATGTCCCATGAACTAAAAACACCAAACAATTGAATTTCGTATTAAGTTTGAGAGTGACTTACTCGAGTCCAAAAATAAGAATCCTAAAGTTTATTGAAGCTAATTATATAGGCACCTGGAGAGATCCTCCATAGGAGATTTCAAAACAGAGCCACAAAAATATTTGAAAGTAATGTATTTAGAAAGTGAATGAGATAGGGCTCAAGAATAGGACTAGCTGAGTAGCTCTTTCTCGAGCTGGTACAGGCACAATGGGCTGAATGGCCTCCTATATGATAAATTCTATAATTCTACGATTCTAACAGGGTAAAATTGATTGGATAAATTAAGTAACTGATATGGCTTTAAATAAAAAGGGGAAAACATTTAAAGAAATAATACAAACTGCACAACAAAAATATATTCCACAAAAAAATCAGCCAGAAAGAAAAGTTGTTGATTTACTCTGAAGTCAAGCATTCCGCCAGATTGAAAGAAATCTTTTAACATTGTAAAGTAAAGCTAAGCATTGGGATTGATTTAGAAATCAGCAAAGGACCATTAATAAATTGGGTAACAATAGAAAAACAATACAATATGAAAAGCTAGAAAAATAAAAGTGGATAGTAGGAGCTTTTAGAAGAATGTAAAAGAGGGAGAGTAGCTAAAGTCAATGTTGATCTTACAGAGGCAGGTGCAGCACAAAGGGGAATTAAGGACATGGCAGAGACTTTGAATAAATATTTCACAACTATCTACAATAGAAGACACAAATTACATACGAGAGACAGAAGTCAGGCAGAAGATACAGAAGCTTGAACACGTACACCAACAAGTTCAGAAACAGCTTCTTCCCTGTCATTATTAGACTGATGAATGGAATCTCTAACTTCAAAAAAATGCTGATTTTATTATGTTGATTTTGCTTAGTGCGCGCTCTGTGCGATATAACCTGTATGCCTTACCCTGTCCAAGTTTCCTTTCACCCCATGATCTAGAACATAGAACAGTACACCACAGTACAGGCCCTTCAGCCCACGATTTTGTGCCGACCTATTATCCTACTCTAAGATCAAAAAATTACATGCCATACCCTTCATTGTGCTATCATCCATGTGCCTATCCAAGAGTCGCTTAAAACCTAATGTATCTGACTCTACATGCACCCACCACTCTCTGTATGTCCTTGCGAACAATGATCTGCCTGTACTGCTCACAAACAAAGCTTTTCATTGTACTTAGGTACACATGACAATAAATCAAATCAAATCAAAGAGAATCAAAGTGTGAGATTCAAAATAATAAATATCAGCAAAGAAGACACATTTGAGAAATGGAATAAACTAAATTCTGTAAATTTCCAGAATTTGACGGTGCACATCCTAGAGTCCTAGTGAACATGGGGAGAGTGTGAAAAAGGTGTGGTAGCAGATCAGCCATCATCTTATTCAACAGTGGGACCAAATAGCCTACACCTGCTCCAATACCTTGTGTTTTTATTCATCTGACTGAATATGCTGTTAGATTCTGCTTCAACAATCCTGAGTGTTTAGCAGAGTGCAAATAGGTCAAAGTCAGGATTGTCCAATTGGTTAGCAACTGCAATAAAAAGTCATGTCTCCACTTGGACAGTTTCACTTCAAATCAAAAAGGCTCATTTTACAAATATCTCTCCTGTTCATCACTGTATTTTATACAAAAGGAAAAAAAATTATATTTTGTGTTTGTTTTCCTTCACTGAATTCAGGTTAAATGCTCTGTGCCGACAAGCCAGGGCTGCTCAGACACTGAGCTCAGTGTACAATTGTTCCCTTGACAGCAATAATGGTTCTCATTCTCAGGGCTGGTGCTGTGAAATGCAACTAGTTATCATTGCACTATCAGAGGTTTCAAACACTCCCAGGACAGCGGCAGCACAGGGTTAGATACACAGTAAAACTCCCTCTACACTATCCCCATCAAATGCTCCCAGGACAGCGGCAGCACAGGGTTAGATACAGAGTAATGCTCCCTCTACACTGTCCCCATCAAACACTCCCAGGACAGGGACATAC